GATGTGATGCCTCCTCTAATGGTGGCACTAATGGCCCTTCTGATGGGGGTCGATGTGATGCCTCCTCTGATGGTGGTGCTACTGATGTCCTGTTATGTAGCACATCAGACATCATGCGCCGGGGATGATCAGGCTTCCTCTTCCTTCCCATAATAATCTGCAAGCAATATTATTTATTTATTAGTACAATAAGCACTTGCTAGGGTTCTCCAGTTAGGGTTTTGAAATCCAGCAAGATCTTCATAGCGATAAGAGTAGATCTAGACGAGGCATGATTCGAAAAGACATTTGCACTGTGGTTCTATTCGGGATCAAAAGCACTAATTCCGTAACAGTAATGCCCATCACTCCCACTAACTCATCGTTCATGTACTATCTTGAAAATTTTCAAACAAATAAATAATTAATGAATTACATGTTAAAATGCACCAACACTTTCCATTGTCATCCATTATTAGTTATTTGAGCTTTGGGATGAGATAAAATTGAACTCAAGTCATCAGTTCCATAATAATAATAATGAAAATTAACAACTTTTCCGATGTGCCAAAAAAGGAAAAAAGAAAAATTAATAAGATTTTTGACCTCTTTTCCTTTTAAAGGAGAGAACTTCAAAATCATATGATTATATTACTGCCTATTAATCTCATTTAGGGGTAGTTTGAGGGCCGGCTTTGATATTTTCTGGTTTTTAAAACAGACTTTCGGTATGAGACCTTTCATACATTAAAAAAAAAGATGTGATAAAAAAGAAAAATTTGTATATATATTTTGACAGAGCTTACAAAAATGATACTTTCATATATAAATTTTAAAATAATAATTAAAACAATCCGAGCTCAAGTACTAAATAAAAAGTAAATAAATTGTAACAAAATATCAATTGAACATCACCATTCTTGTATTTTTAACTGCGAAATTGCTAATCAAACTTACATAATTAACTTATTAACCAAATCTTTTTCAATATAAAATTATTACTTAATTCAATTTTTCTTCAGATATAGTTGACCAAAGATAATATTTAATCAACTTTAAATTCAAAAAGTTTCTTTCCCGAGAAACAACTGCAACTGATATAATTAATTGTATTTTATACATAATTCATGCATTTGATAAAACAACTCTCTATTAATTTCAAATAATTCATCATATCAATAAACTTTTTTTATTTCTTTTCGACAAAATTATCTGTTAGTTTTAAATAATGTACTACATCAACTATCTATTAGTTTTGAAATGTTCATCAAACTTTGTCATGGCCTTTCAAATTCTGATTTTTTTTTTTTTTTTTTTTAGTATAATAAACAGAGATAGATATATAGATAGAAAAGAAAGAAAGTGGGGATTTAAAAAAAATTAAAAATGAATTGGAGAAAATAAATAAAAATAATAAATTTTGAAATCAAATGAAGGAAAGAGAGGGGACAATCCATGTGATAAAGTGGAGAGAGAAAGAGCCCATGTGAGTCTGATATAGTTGTGAATGGATTTGGTTGTTTTTTTTTTTGTTTTTTTGTTTTTATTTATAAAATATATATATTATAAAACCAATAAATAGAGCAAGCACGTGGATGAGCCAACATGAAGTTACCTCAAAAAGCAGCCATACATTAGCTAAGTTATATAAGCCTACAGCTGGCTATAACACTGCAGCACGCCATTTGAGCAAAAAGGAAAACCAGCCCCCGGATTTTGATTAAAAAAAGGGACCAGAAAGAGAGAGTGGGCGGTGGATGAAAACATGTGAGAGGCATTGTGTTTAAATAAAAGAAGAGTGGGTGGACAATAATAAAATAAAAGAAAGGAAAAGAGAGGGACAAAAGTTGGTGGATAGTTGGATGAAGAGAAAGTAGATCCACCATTACAACGGCAGCTGATGAATGTTGTAAGAGAATGGGTGTTTGAAAATTGTGAAGCTGGTTTGGAACTCTGGGATGATCCTGTCGCGGCTAGACTTGATTAAAAGGAAATGAATTTTGCAGAGGTTGATATGCAGTTCTTGGTGGCTGGGCATAGTGCGAGTCCAGGATTGGTTCGGGTTTGTAGTCAACAACAAGGAATTTCTCCAAAACGGGGAGGAATATATTTGCAAATTCAACATGGGCTGGATGAGCAAGGTACTCCGCAATGCCTTCCACGCTCTCAAAAGTTGACTCGAAAACATGAGTGAAACCTTGATGCAGGTTCTCAATGCTGACGTCCTTTCCCCAGTGGAAAGACTTCATGGGCTCGATGTGATGGACAAGGTTGGCGTAGCCCTTGATGAGTTGATCAATCTGGTCAGGTGGGATGTCATCTTTGAACTTGTCTAGCAAGATGTGCTTCACCACTCCCTTGGGCATTTTGCTTCCGATGTGAAATTGAGCACCAACGTGTGGTTGCTGCAGAGCATGTAATCGAAGCACCACGATAGATGTCAATTCCGCCGGTGAAGACGATTCAGGGCCCCAATTTCAGCGCCGGAGCTCAGCCGCAGACAGCAGCTCAGTCGCGGACAGCGAGATCGTCAGAGGCCACGGAGGTGGTGGTTGGTCGGCATCGGAGATGAAGAAGGTGAAGATAGAGAAATGAGAGAGAAGGAGTTGATGATTTTGATGGGGATGAAGATGAGGAAACAAAGAAAGAAGAGTTTCTGGTACGTGTTTGTGGTATGTGTTGAAAATTCTAGCGGACTAGGTTGAGGTCCGGCGGGCGGCTAAGGTGAGGTTGCCGCCCGCCGCGGAAGCGAAAAATATTAGGTTCTAAACCTGCTCTGATACCATGTTAAAATTGATGTATTATTGATTGATGTGTAAATTACAGATGGTGAGGTACTCATTATATAGGAGAGGATTAGGGAGTAGGTGAGTGTGTGTGGTAGGTGAGTTGAGTGGAGGTGGTAGGTGATGATATATTTTAACAGTAACCTTATTAGCATAACAGAAATGCACCGTAGCTCGAATTCTTGAGGCTTGAGTGACCCAAAAAATGAAAATTTTTCTCTCCTCTCTATCTGTTTCTCTCCCCTCCTCTCTATCTCTATTCTTCAAAACAAAAAAGCATTCAAACACTCTCATTCAACATATTTAGGTTTGATTTTGAACTGATTTGGGTTTGATTTTGTTTGATTTTGTCTGATTTGGGTTTTGATTTTGATTTGTGGCTGTGACTGTAGGTCACTACTAGTATTGGTGTCCATAACCATCCCTATGAACTGTGTATATATATATAAGTGAATCTCATTTTCTTAAAAAGCCAAGTGCTTGGTGTCTATAACTATGAATTGCCAATCCTCCAATCAAATAAATATTAAAAAACTTGGCCGGGCGAATGGTTTTTTGGTAGGCTGATTGGCTATGTTATCGCTATTCAATATTCAAGCATTGTTTTTAACTATCTGTGCAATTGTTAATGGGTTTTGAATAGAGGAGAGAGAGAGAGAAGTAGGATAGAGAGAGAATCAAACCATCACATTTGCACATAACATCTCTTTCTAAATTGTGATCCCGCATTTTCTCTTCAATCACACCATTTTATCATTAAACAAACAAATCAAACCAGCCCAACTGTTTCTTTGCTCTGCAAAATAGTTTTGCTATTTTGCTCTTTTTTTTTTCTAGTGGATCTGAGATCTCTCTCTCTCTCTCTCTATCTCTGCAATTGTTAATGGGATGAGAGAGAGCGTGAGGACGAGAGGGAGCGAGAGAATGAGAGGGATCGGCGATTTCACGAACCTGAGCTGCTTCGAGAGGGATGGGAGCTGTTTCGATTTTGGGTTTGAATAGAGGAGAGAGAGAGAGAGAGAGAGAGAGAGAGAGAGAGAAGTAGGATAGAGAGAGAATCAAACCATCACATTTGCACATAACATCTCTTTCTAAATTGTGATCCCACATTTTCTCTTCAATCACACCATTTTATCATTAAACAAACAAATCAAACCAGCCCAACTGTTTCTTTGCTCTGCAAAATAGTTTTGCTATTTTGCTCTTTTTTTTTTCTAGTGGATCTGAGATCTCTCTCTCTCTCTATCTCTGCAATTGTTAATGGGATGAGAGAGAGCGTGAGGACGAGAGGGAGCGAGAGAATGAGAGGGATCGGCGATTTCACGAACCTGAGCTGCTTCGAGAGGGATGGGAGCTGTTTCGATTTTGGGTTTGAATAGAGGAGAGAGAGAGAGAGAGAAATAATGTCTTACATGGATGGCTCAATAATGTCTTACATGGATGGCTCAATAATGTCTTACATGGATGGCTCAATAATGTCTTACATGGATGGCTCAATAATGTCTTACATGGATGGCTCAATAATGTCTTACATGGATGGCTCAATAATGTCTTACATGGATGGCTCAATAATGTCTTACATGGATGGCTCAATAATGTCTTACATGGATGGCTCAATAATGTCTTACATGGATGGCTCAATAATGTCTTACATGGATGGCTCAATAATGTCTTACATGGATGGCTCAATAATGTCTTACATGGATGGCTCAATAATGTCTTACATGGATGGCTCAATAATGTCTTACATGGATGGCTCAATAATGTCTTACATGGATGGCTCAATAATGTCTTACATGGATGGCTCAATAATGTCTTACATGGATGGCTCAATAATGTCTTACATGGATGGCTCAATAATGTCTTACATGGATGGCTCAATAATGTCTTACATGGATGGCTCAATAATGTCTTACATGGATGGCTCAATAATGTCTTACATGGATGGCTCAATAATGTCTTACATGGATGGCTCAATAATGTCTTACATGGATGGCTCAATAATGTCTTACATGGATGGCTCAATAATGTCTTACATGGATGGCTCAATAATGTCTTACATGGATGGTTCAATACATGAAGATGAAATGAGAAATTATGGCGCGCACAGTGAGGTTGTGGGAAGAGTTCTTACAGTATGTGCATGCTATTTCATAGAATGTGAAATTAAAAAAATCAAAGTATGAAAGCAACTACACACGAAACACATGACGAAAACGGGTTTGATAAACTTGAACAAAATGTCAATTAAAGATATGGAAAAGGTTCTTTCAAAGCATTTGAAAACACCCACCCATGAAAGCCCCAAAAAAAGAGTTTTAATTGAAAAAATTATTTAAAAAAATAATATTAATACCAAAGGGAAAGCATAACAACATAAAACAAAGAGTAAAGGAAAACATAAGCTCGTAAGAAGGGATGAAGAAATCATGACAAATCACAACAAAAGAATTCAAATGTTAATTCATGATAATTGGAGAAATGATCCCACACATGATTTTTTGTTTAAATGTACAAATAGATAATCCTTCTAAATAATACAAGAAATATAAGTCATGTAGGATGCTATTATATATGGAGCAAATAACTTTCATTTCCATGTTCATGTCGATATGCCACTTAAATATTTTGTAATACCAAAAGACCCATGCCTAAAGGCACTCCTGTGTAATATATGTGGTGTTTGCTCTCAAATGTGCTTACTTTATTATTTTGAAATAATTGAGTTACTTTGAATGAAAAGTGTAGGTATGGAAGTTGTGAGAATTATATTCTATTGGGGTGGAAAGATTTTGCGTAATCGCGATGAAGGTGTGTCGTACGACACCGAACTTCAGGGGTTGTATAATGTGCACAAGGGGATAACATTGGCTGAGTTGGAGGCTATGATGGTGCCGAAGGTTGGTACGCATGGGGAAATAATTCAATTAGAGTTTAAATGTAGACTCCCATGTCGGGGGAAGTATAGGTTGCTGCCAATCAAAGATAATGAGACCTTAAGTAATGTCTTAGAGCTCCCACATAAATTAGGCCCTGATTATTTTTTGGAAATCTATGTGGAGAAGGAGAGCAATTTTGGTGGCATAGAGATGCCAATTCCGGTGGGTGGGACATTCACTCAAATGTTGAAAAAATATATATATTTTTGTAAGTGGGTTGAGGAAAGATTAAAAACAAAGGACAACAATGAGTTGCTTGGAGTTTTTGGTGATTCAACATCACATTGTTGTCCTCGAACCCCCTACGGCCATTGATGGACACTTGGACTTCATAATTTTCTGAGACTTTACCTCTTGAATGATCAACATGGAATTAATATGCCAAATGACTGAGGAATAGAGGGGCATATTTTAGAAGATTTAATTTTAATTTCTACATTTGGATTTTAAATTTGTCAATAGAAATGGCAAGAAAAAAAAGAAAAAACAAGATGAACAAGTTCATAAATCTAAAAGTTGGGGAATAACAAATGCCTTCAAATAATAATATAATAGGTTTGAGAAAACTTCACAACAAACTTAACATATTTTTCCTTGTATTTCAATTACATTTTTTTTAGTACATAAAAAGGAAATTATAAATATGTGCAAAAAAGATCCTCAAAACAAATATAAAAAGAAAAAGCCCACATCTAATAAGGGAATCAAACCTTTTTTGAAAAAATGAAAATCCTATAATTCAGAGCCTCTAGATATAGAAGTCTGGCCCATTTGGACCAAGCCCTACAATAAGCCTACAATTTTCTTGTATGAGCCCACAGCCTAGCCCAACCCATTACATCGTATGCAATAACAACAGATCTAAATCGAGTTATTCAAGCCTAGATATATGGAAAATGCTACCATATGCACCTGCCACAAAATGTGTAATCCTATTACAAATTGACGTAACAAAAAATGCCGCAACAAAACCATAAACTTTTACATCATGCATAACCTAACTACAAATTGGCATAGTAAAAAGTATCGTAACTAAGCCAAAAACTTTTACATCATTAACCTCAAAAATTTGGACATTTTATTATGCTAATTTGTAACGAGATTATACATTTTGTTACTGATGCTACACAATTTTATGGTAAAACCATATTTTTGTGATAGAGTGCAACCCTTTAGGGCCAGATATATAGATACTAGGGTAAAATGCCCATGCCTTGCACGGGGTTACAGGTACTATTGTGATAAATTTAAATTTAAGAAATACACACATTCGAATAGAGTTTAGAATTTTTTTTT